ATTGTTTTTTACCACTAAGTAATGATATATTGTTGTATGAATGTTGTTCAATGTTGATATTTGTTTCGTCGCTATATATCAAAACACTTAACGACTTTTCCATCGGAAAATAGTTAGTTTTGTTTTCCCTCGAATCTCAATGTTTCCCTTGACTTCGTCTCGGGAAACACTGAGATTCTCGGGAAAACAAAACAAACTATTTCCCTCGAGTGCAGACTTTAAGTGTATAATATATATATATATATATATATATATATAAATCAATTTAGAATGAAATCCACAGCGATCAATCGATAGACAAAAACAAATTGTTTGCAGAAGGAAGCAGGCGCAAAAAAAATGTTTCCAACGACAACAACACCCTTGCGTTGTCAAAATGTCCACCCACCCCTCCTCCCAAAAGATAATGGTCGGTCTCTTATCGGTGGAGTAAACAGTTTTAAAACCTTTTAAGGTCCGACATGACGGTATTTTTTGTTGTACTTTGTCTTTGAGGTGTAACTAAGCGTTAAATTAAGTATTTACCGGAAACCAGGCATATATTCCGCTGTGGATCTGACTTGGGGACACGCATAATCAGAAAACCCAGAATTCCGGGCGCCAGAGTATGCCTGTTTGCAGGTAGTGCTGTGAATGTTATAGTTAACAACAAAAATCATGACCACAGACACCAAAAAAGGATCAAAACTGTATTTTAAAATACTTAAAACGTGGAAAAATTGGGAATCGAATCTCATTACCTCAACCCATTCGCATTTTTGAGGACTTCATTTCCCATTCCCAGTGGCCAAATCCCAGTCCCAGCAACCCAAATCCCACTTTTCCAGTCTAAAAATAGATCAATCCCAGTTCCCATTTTACCCCTTCAGGACCCTCTTGCAATGTAGTGTCGAAATTTCAAAGGCAAAACTTGTAGTATTATAAATGTTGGGAATTGTAGTATATCTTGCCGTGTATTATATTTGATATTTTGTTCAAAGGCAAAACTCGTAGTATTAATGTGAATTGTATTTCTATCCATGTACAGTACAAGGCCTGTTCTAAACGTCGCATTTCAATGAGCCGAATGCATTCAAAACAATATATTGATAATCAGCTGAAATGCCTCATTATCCATTGTTTTGAATGCATTCGGCGCATGTAAAATGCGACGTTTAGAACAGGCTTTATATTTGATATTTTGTAAAAACATTAAACACGTTATTGAAATCACAATCATTTCAATCTTTCATGCATGAAATACAAAATAATATAGAAATGGTTGAATGCATGGTTTTTGGCAAGCGCGCTAAAAATAGCAGATGCATACATGCACTGCATGTAAACAAAACATTTAATACGTACCGAGTCAGATTGTAAAAACTTGCAAAATCGAATAAGGTCTTTTTTCATAGTCTTAGAGAAAAATAACAGAATTACAAAATATTCAGCCCAAATCAAATCGAAATCGGACTTTGCATCAGAATTTGATCTGCAACTCACTCAGAAATGGAGTAAAAGTAATTAAAAATTGCGATGGGACTATAAAATCCTCAATAATACTGAATGTAAACAAAACATTTAATACATACTGTACAGAGCCGGATTGCAAAAACTTGCAAATAATGTCTTTTTTTCACTGTCTCAGAGAAGAATAACAGAATTACAGAACATTCAGCCTAAATCAAATTGAAATCTGGCTTTGCATCAGAATTTGATCTGCAACTCACTCAGAAATCGAGTAAAGTAAAATTGCGATGAAATATATGTATGTATTAAACAAAACATTTAATGCATTATACAGAGAGCCAGATTGCAAAAACTTGCAAATAAGGTATTTTTTAGAGAAGAATAACAGAATTACAGAATATTCAGCCCAAATGACAAATCAAATCGGACTTTGTATCAAAATTTGAACCGCAACTCACTCGAGTAAAGTAAAATTGCGATGGGCTTAATAATACTGACCACTGTAAATAATACTGACCATTCCAATTTCCATTTGTTATTTGGCATGAAGAATATATTTCATCGCATGTCGCACGAAAAATTGTCAGCCGGTGAGAGGCGAAAGGCCCGTAAAATTTACTGTAAATCACTGAATAAAGACTGAAAGTTCTCAAAATAGCCGGTGCGAGGCGAAAAGGCGGTAGGATTTAAATCACTGTAGGAAAAGTTCCGTGTACGTACGAACGCACCATAATGCATTGCGCTTGAGCTCGATGAGCCACCAAACTATGTAGCCTGCTAACAGACGTTGTTATTCTTATAGGCCGTGCATGGGCTGTTGTGCGAAAAAGTGCCTAGAAAAGCAATTTCGTGGCACCTTCCTGGGAAATAGATTTTCTATGGTTCAATTCATAGTAGCCTACCATAGATGCTTAATTACCACAAAAAGTTCCCAAGCAAAAAACTTGCCCAACACCGAGAAAATGGGTGATCAGTGATTATCCTCTATTAAATTGTATTACAGCACGAAAACGTAAAATTTTGTATTCAATTACAACAAAAATTACTTGCATTATCAGAAAGCTTACAAAAACCTACACATAAGACATTTAAATAGTTATTTTTTATCTAAAATAGTTGTCGAGTTATACGCAATCTCGTACCCAGAGCCATCGTTGAGTGGCTCTGGCCACACGGGATTGAAAAACGATCCTGATTGGTCGATCCATAAGTTATTGAACCCATACCCCCTGTGGCGTTCACGAGCGCGGCCAATATGAGTGAATACAATATATTTTGCTTTATTTGGCCTGAAAAGTTAGTTGGCCTTATTTTGACGAATTTTTTGTTGCTTTTTGTCCGGAAAAGTGGTGAAGGGATTAAGGAGTTGATTTATGCATACTTGAATTCATTTGGGCAAAATAACAGCCTTTGTTATGGTAATAATTCGTACTCTTGGTTTACCCTGAGTGAGTATTGATGGGAATGATGGCATATGTCCTTGATCTATTATATTGGAGTGTTATTATTGAAAAGAAATTCAAACGTACAAGACTTACAAGCGTACACGTATGCTAGGACTGTGTTTATACAAGATTTGGGATTTTTTAATTGAACTGTATAAAATGTATGAATCATCATGGTGTGAATGTAACAATTATAAAACAGCATTTGGATTCTTTTGCAACTTGTCAATTCGTTTGATAGAATTGTTTGGTGATACAATATACTGTTTCTGTTTACAGTATTGCCTGTACAACTCTGTCAGAATCATTGGTGTTAGTATAGCCAAAAAAGGTTTCATTAAAGGCCATGTAAAGTATGTAATGTAAACAACCCATCAAAACCTTTGTTTACATATTTCTGAACCCAGTGCTAATTGCTAAAGTTGTAAAATATTAGATATATGTATATTATACTAAATTTTTAACACTTTTCTGGTTCGTTATGCTTGTAAGTGAATACAGACTAGATATTCAATTCAAGAAAGTATGGAAGGTACAAAATATTAATAACATTCCAATGGTCGGGTCCCGACCATTGGAGTGTAGGCCCGAAGAACGCATGCGCAGAACAGACTTTACATGGTCTTTAACAATAGCAGGATGTACTACGTTACAGTATGTAATAATATGAAACCGTCTACACAATTTATACAATGGTTCCACTAAAATTGGTAAATAAATGATTGTCAACTATTCCATAGCAGAAACTCAACATTGGCTACTAACTCTTGACGAACGGCCTTCGCTAGAAATGTGAAATTTCTGCTTGATTTTTTTCAGGTAGCACTATATATAAATATCAGATATTCATTCTTGTAATGGCCAACTGAGTGTGCAGCAAGTAACAATTGTATTTGAAGTCAAATGCGCAACAAAAACAACTTTACTTTTTCAGAATAAGCCTACTAAAACCAAATTATAGGTTTATTAGTAAACTATCATAATAACTTCATACATCTTTAACAATTTCAGGACCGCCGAAAGTAGGAATGCAGGCAAAATCCCAGCTCAAAAGGGCCTCCAAAGCACAAAAAGTTGTGTCAGTGCCAGATAATATACAGTAAAGTGTAATATATTGTTATGATGTCATATAGGGACCCCTGGGAAAACTTAATGATGTCATATGCTTTCCCTGGAAAAATTTTACTCTGGGCCCTGCACAACCTCCCAGTGGTGCCATAAAATGAATTGCAAGTTCTAAAAAACCTTTATTGATTTCAGTAATGTGTCATTCTACACATCAACCTAACAAGCAATACAAGCATGAAAGTATAAATGATATTAAATTTATTCAAGCAGTACATTGTTATTAGTCAGGCCAGGTGTGATTCTTGATTCTTTTTATCTACTTTTTATCACATAACTAATGAGAAATGCCACTTTTCCAACAATACTACAACCTCGTTCCCAGGCTATTTGCTCTTGGGAAGCAAAGTCCCTGGTCGGAGCTGGTCACGTGACGCATTGAAAGTTGATAGCCCAAGAGGGGGGTGGAAAAGTCTCATATTACATGTTTCCACTTCCGCACTTCGATTGCAAGGAGTGGCCGTTCTGTACAATCATTAATTCATCTTCAAGAATCATATATACCTCAAACTACTTGCTAAATTGGTTTCAGTTTGCTTTTAAATTATACAAACATGCTAAAATGCAGATTTTTATGGCAACAGAAAATTCAGGAAATCAAGCAAAGAGAACATATGATTGTACGCTTTGAAATATTTTTATTTTCTCGGGGTTCGCCGGTTCGGGCGTAGTTTTATTTCACGCATACGTTTCTGTTGTGGCTCGTGTAATGTTCGTGGTTTTGTATCAATATCAAGCACTTTTAAGTATAACAATAGATATCAAACAACTTGTACAAACAGCATAGTACGTATCCAATTACTTCCCGGTTCCCTAGCCTCGTGCTTCTAAAATACTTAACTAACTTTCTAGTCACGTGTGTGCTAGTGTCAATAATGTCAACATTGCATCCCTCCCTTGATTTAAATATGAACTCTAGTACTAACTATAACAAAATATGCATATAATGTTTAAACTGTATCTTATCTGTTTTAGTCCAGGTCAATCATAAATGTTATTTCCATATCTGTACACCCGCTGTCTTTTTCTTGCCGGATATCTCGGACCATCATCTTGTCTCTGACCATTGTTCTGCCGCGGACAATCCTTCTGTCTCAGTCCATCATACTGTTCATGCTCTTCGTGGACATCTTCATCTGAGGAATAATTTTCTTCATCCATTATCTCTGTTGACTCCAACGATCTGCCATGTCTGGGGTGATACTTTTTAAAGAACGAAATGTTCCGAGTTATATATTTCCCATTCCTAATTGCTGTGATTCTGTTCCCACGGCGATTTGTGACTTCATATGGTATTGGATCGTATTTTGTGGACATTTTATTTGCTTTCGGTTGCCGCACCAAAACTAAATCACTTTTCTTGATGTCAGCACACTTAACTCTTCTTTTGGAATCAGCATATTCTTTTTGGTTCTTTTTCAACCTTTCATCTCTCTCTTTCACCTCTTGATGAAGTGAAGAATCATTTTCGACTGTCACTTGAGGTAATTTTGTTTGAATCTTACGGTTGTATAGCAACTCGGACGGTGACTTGCCAGTGGTGGAATGTGGGGTAGCTCTGTAGTTGAGCAAAAATTTAAACATTTCACGTTTCCAGTCTTTGTTTTCATGATGGGCAGATTTCACAGCCTTTACAAGTGGTTTCATAAAGTTCTCGGCTTGTCCATTTCCTTGGAGCCATAATGGTGAGCTTGGTTTATGTTTAATGCCGAGTTCTTTCAAGTACAGACTAAATTCATGGCTCTGGAATGGTGGACCGTTATCACTCTTTAACACCTTTGGAATACCATGTGTGGCAAAAATTCGTTCAAGTTTCAATATTGTTGATTTTGCAGATGTTGAACTTACAATTTCCACCTCTGGAAATCGTGAATATGCATCAATAATCACTAACAGATATGAACCACCTAGAAATGGTCCACAAAAATCAATGTTCACTGTATGCCAGGGTTGGGGAGGCAGCGTCGTCATTCGCAGTGGTTCTTGGTGACTGTTTGGTCCATTTGCCTGACATAACAAACAAGTATCAACTGTGTGCTTAGCAAGCTTGTCTATACCTGGATACCAAACCTTTTCTCGCAACAACTGTTTAGTTTTTACTAGCCCTTGGTGGCCTTCATGAGCAATTTGAACAGCCTTTAGTCTAAGGCTTTCTGGAAGCACAATTAGCGAACCTCGTAATATAATTCCATCATGCTCGTTTAGTGTAAGTTCTGTTTTAATTTTCTCACATGCTTTCAAGTCCAAAACCTTTACATTGGGATTGGATTGTACGTCTAGAGAGTCTATTAAATGCCATTTACCTGTTGTGATGAGGTTGCTTAGGATCTGTAATGTTGAATCAGCCATGGTAGCTTGTTGTATTTCAGGCAGAGTCATTGCTCTTGGCACAGCATGTTGGGTAAGGAAACAAACATAATTGTCAGCCATTGTTTGGAACTGTCTGTCATCAGTGGTGTTGTTAACAGGTAAACGTCTCTCAACATCCGACAGCGAACGACTGATATATGCAACAACATTTTGTTGGTCTGATCCTGGGACTTTCTGTGTCAGAATAGCTGAGAGACCAAAAGGTGATGCATCAGTGATAAGTTCTGTTTCCTTGGTTTGATCAAAATATGCCATAACTGTTGCACTTGTGAGGGCAGCTTTTACTGCGTTGAAGGATTTAGCATGCCTAGATGTCCAGCAAAAAGGCACATTTTTTCTCGTTAATTCTCGCAAAGGCTCTGTGAGATCACTGAAATTAGGGATAAATTTCGCACAATACGTCACCATCCCAAGGAAACTCCGAACAGCTTTAATTGAATTTGGAGGTGGGCAGTTGTGAATTGCTGAAACCTTCGCTGGATCCGGTGAAATGCCATCACCTGAGAAGACAAAACCAAAAAATGTGAGCTGCGATTGACTGAACTCACATTTGTCTTTGTTGAAGGTTAATCCAATGAGTGAAAACCGCTCAAAAATTTCATGAAGAGCTTTGTCATGCTCAGCTTGGGTTATGCCAAAGATAATTATGTCATCACTAATGTTGATGGCATTCGGAATGTCACGGATTTGTTCGCTAATTACATGTTGGAAGATTTCACTTGCCGAATTGGTGCCAAAATTCAACTTCTTATAGCGGTAGAGTCCTTTGTGCGTTACAAATGTGGTTATGTGTCGACTTTCCTCAGCGAGAGATAACTGGTGGTATCCCGAGCGAAGATCAAGCTTTGTAAATATGGTGGCGCCGTTTAATTTGTGAATTAAATTATCCACAGTTGGGGTCGGATGTCTTTCGCGTTGAATTGCCTGATTAGCCATGCGCATATCAATGCATAGCCTGATCTCACCATCTTTCTTTGGGATAACAACTAATGGACTGACCCAAGGAGTGGCATCTGATACTTTTTCAATAATTCCATCACTTTCTAACGTGTCGAGCGCATCTGAGACCTTTTGCCGCATGTGGAAAGGAATACGACGGGGGGTTTGTGCTACTGGAGGCACAGTATCATCAATGTGCAATTTAAAGTGCCACTGCGATGGAAAATTGTGCTGTCTTTTTATTGTATATTCAGAAAGTATGTCTGTAGATAAACAAAATTACCGAATATCAGCGTCCAATTCCATTTCCTTCTGCCTTTTTTTTCAACGCAAACATGCAAATTTTTCGGCCGCCATTACTGAGTTGCCAATTAGCGAGATGTTGATTTCTTAGCCGGATGTGACGTCATTTACTCAACACGCTTCTTTCCCGAAGGAGAAATTAATATTATCAAAGGCTTATTCTAGGCTGTTTTTTGTTCAAAATTATGTCTTCTGACGAAAGCCACAGCTCAAATTTTGCAACACAATCATCTTGCGAACTATGATACTTCAGTCGAGCCTGTCGAGGCTCTTGCCACTGAAAAAACATAAAACACGAAAAGTACTATAACTGAGAGAGAGCAAGAGCAGCAAACACTGTCTGCTGGATTGTCTGGGGAAACCTTAACGGGTACCTGGTACGTTTTGGATTGTATTTATTTACGTTTTGGTTAATATATTTGTGACATAAAAGATGATAAAACAAACATGTGATGGCCATGTTTAACAAAACAAATGGTCACTGGTCTCCTTATAAAAAATCATTGTCACCTCCGTTATATTGCACGAAACGTCTTCAATGAGAGATGGCTTAAAGATGACTGTGTTGCCAAATTGGAAATCCTAACTCACGTAAGAACACATATTAATTTACACAAAGTTGTGGGAAATATATTTCAATTATATATATTAATATCAATATATTATAAACTTCAATAGTATACTTCAATAGTAACTGTGTCCTGGCTCATTGTTGTTTATGTGAACCTTGTAAGAAAAAATGCTGGAAGAAAACATGCATGACCAGCATTTGATATTGGTTGTATTTGAATACCCTCTGGAAATATCAAGACTTTTAGTATACCCCCATTCCATTGGAAATCTTGATGCAATGGTCAACACCACCCCCTATCCTCTTGAATTTCCGATCTCTTCTGTAGCAGGGTGGGGTGTGGGGGGGGGGGGGGTATGGCTATTTCCTGGAACTATGCAATTTGACTGAGTCATGTAGGAGTAATTTTTGGCATTAAGCATTCCCTCAAAAGGCAACCCCCAGACATATTTGCATGTTTTTCTTTAAAAAGAATGACTACCAGGTAGGTTGGTGAGAAAAAGAGCACTCCCTACTCTGGCGATGAGTGGTAAGAAATTCTCATCAGCCAGGGGCAGCCAAACTGATACAATGTCATTATCTGAGTATCATATTCTGAATTTAGTAATGTTTGAATCCCTGTAAAGGTGAACAAGGTACTGAAATATCCTGTCATGTGAACAAGAAAACTTGAAAAGCCTATAGCTAAGTTATATGTAAGCCAAACAAGGATCTTGTATTATGAATCCTGGTGTTTTTGTGCAGAACACAGCTCACAAATAACATGATAGTTTTTGGATTACTAAATTTTAAAGCTGTCATGTTAATATATAAATTTTCTTTTTGAAAGTATGTTTCTTAGGGCAGTTGCATATCAAGTAGTGAAGCTTGTGTGGAGCTGTATACCAACAGTTCAAGAAGGTACCCCCTTCCTTGCTGTGCATATGCCAAGATACGGTTTCTGTCTTGTTTATGTGAACAATGAACATTTTGCCGAGATATTTTTTAAAACACCGATATCATGCTTGAAAGTATGATAGTAGTAAAAAACTGTTCAGAATTTCCATAGGGGTGGGGGAAACAAGCTGTCAGTGACAATTAGAAAAATCTAGAGGGGTGAGGGTTCATAATTAACTAATAAAATCTCTTCCATTAGCAGGGGGTATTGCCTAGAACTACACATTGAAATACTTAGTCTGGTTCACTCTTTTTCCCTTCGGTATACAGAGTGGTATAATTTGGCAGCCTTTTAATCAGGTTTTGTAACTTAAACCAGGAAGTTTTAACACCCAATGTTTCAAACAATCAATATCAAATGCTGGATGCTCAGTTTAATAAGCAGCAGTCATGCATGTTTTCTTCCCGCATTTTTTCTTACAAGGTTCACATAAACAACAATGAGCCAGGACACAGTTACCACATTTATACCTATGGATCATTAATATATTAAAGTATACTATTGAAGTATACTATTGAAGTATACTATTGAAGTATATAATATAGGAAGTGGATATTCGTCCGACATTTCGATATCGTTAAAGTCGTTAAAAATAAAACAGCGTAAATTTAATTGAATTTCAAGCGAATCCTTCGTAGTGTAGTGGTTTAGGCACCCGTAAAGTGTGCGCCAAGTTCTGGGATCGATTCCTGCTCGCGCCACTATTTTATTATTTTTTTTTATACTTTTTTTTTTCTTCGTGATTTTCGCTTACGCACCGCGTACGAAACGTGTAGCGTATCGAAAAAATTGAAATATATTTCCCACAACTTTGTGCAAATTAATATGTTTTCTTACGTGAGTTAGGATTTCCAATTTGGCAACACAGTCATCTTTAACTATCTCTCATTGAAGACGTTTCGTGCAATATAACGAAGGTGACAATGATTTTTTATAAGGAGACCAGTGACCATTTGTTTTGTTAAACATGGCCATCACATGTTTGTTTTAAGTCACAAATATATAAACCAAAACGTAAATAAATACAATTCAAAACGTACCAGGTGCCCGTTAAGGTTTCCCCAGACAATCCAGCAGACAGTGTTTGCTGCTCTTGCTCTCTCTCAGTTATAGTACTTTTCGTTTCAGTGGCAAGAGCTTCGACTGAAGTATCATAGGCCTCGCACAAATCCACACTTTTCTCCATATTTACATCACCCCCGCTATCACAAGAAACGTCTTCGGCAAAAGAGAGTTCGCAAGATGATTTTGTTGCAAAATTTGAGCTGTGGCTTTCGTCAGAAGACATAATTTTGAACAAAAAACAGCCTAGAATAAGCCTTTGATAATATTAATTTCTCCTTCGGGAAAGAAGCGTGCAGTGCTCTCACAATCGAATTTTCGAATTCCTTAGAAAAAGCTCGAAAATTCCTCAGATTTCCTTAAAATTCCTTAAATTGGTGCAAAAAGGTTTTTTCTCCTTTTTTGCTGTTTTTCAGTTTTTCAACCTTGTTTCTACGCACTAAAAACTGAAAAGATTTGATTGTTAGCATAATGCCATCTAGAAAACATTCAACATGATGTATTTTTGATCGGTATTGCATGAAGAGCTTAGAAAATCTGTAGATTTCAGAAGAAACAGCATTGTTTTATTATACATTTTGTGTTAAATAGATACAGCTTGCTAATCATCGCAGGCTCATTTGCAGATAACTCAGTTATCTGCTAGGAGATAACTGAATTTTCTGTAGGTTGCGTGATTGCGCGATTTAACTGTAAGCTCTTAGCCAGTCAAATTGCTTTTACCAACTACAACCATATGTATATTTATGACATAGAGAACATACGAATATATGTAATTGACAAATTGTGTGCGTATAATGTTGCTACTTTCAAGTTTAAATCTCATTTGCGTGGCGTGATTATTCTCCGTCCAACGTTTTTAGTCCAGGATAAAAAGTTTCGGAAATTCCTTAAAAAAATCCTTAAAAACCTAAATTCCTTAAAAAAATCCTTAAAACTCTTCAAAATTCCTATTTTTAAGGATAATTCCTTAAAAGTGAGAGCACTGGAAGCGTGTTGAGTAAATGACGTCACATCCGGCTAAGAAATCAACATCTCGCTAATTGGCAACTCAGTAATGGCGGCCGAAAAATTTGCATGTTTGCGTTGAAAAAAAAGGCGGAAGGAAATGGAATTGGACGCTGATATTTGGTAATTTTGTTTATCTACTGACATACTTTCTGAATATACAATAAAAAGACATCACAATTTTCCATCGCAGTGGCACTTTAACTTCAAAATTTTTAAGAGTGCCAATTCCGTTGAACAGATGGGCATACTCTTTCATCAGTTGTTCATGGGTGGCATGTTCCGGTTTCACATTGTTAACATTCAGCATGATTAGACCCAAAGCAGATGCCGTTTGATAGCTTAGCAAACAACCAAAATTTCCTTTGATATTGATAACATGAACTTGCGTGGTTGTTGCACCAGTCAAACATTCTAGAGTTGCACGAAATTGTCCCATAACAGGTAGCTGGTTTGTAGCTCCATATGCAAAAATACGTGTTTTGGAACGTTGAAGGGCTATGGGTCTCTGTTTTTGCAAGGTGTTGAAAGCAAGTTCATCGAAGATGTCGATGGAAGCACCAGTGTCGATAACCATGTTGATAGGGGTGGTGTTGACCGAGATTTGAACCTGTGGAGTTGTTTTGTCTCTACCTGTCGGTTTCAGAGTAAAAATAAATTCATCCTCGCTACTGCTTTCACTGCTGGAGGGTTTGCCATAAATCTTGTGAACTTTGTTTTTGTGGTATTTTTTGAAGGCTTTCGATTCTCTTGTTGACCGACGCGAGCCTTGCGAGCACTACGACAGACTTTCGCAAAATGGTTTGATTTTCCACAGTTCAGACAAGATTTTCCTTTCGCGGGACAAATATTGTTGTTATGGGGCCAGGGCCCCCCACAATTCCGAAACTCTGATGAGGTGTAAAAGTCTTGGCGGTGAAACGATGTATGTTGTTTATCACGATGGTTGTTATGTTTCGTTGTAGGATGGACAGCTTCAACTACTTCGTCAGAAATGTGTGTTGAGTCAAGTGCGTTTTCAATGCCGGTTGCCTGCGATTCACTGAGTTCAAAAGCTCTGCCTTTTGCGAGAATCTTGGCTAGCGTAACTTCCGAGTCAAGCAGGGCGTAGCGTCGGAGACGTTTCGATAAACAGTTTTGAATTATGGCCGATTTTACTTCCTTGTCGATATTTTCGAAGTCACAGGTTGCCGCCAGCTTCCTAAGACGAGTTGAAAACTGATCGATTGTTTCATGTGGTTGTTGTTTGGCTTCACGAAACTTAAAAATTTCAAAATCGACATGTTTTTTAGGTGAAAAATACGTATCGAGGGCAGCGATAGCGGAATCATAGTCGTCGTCTTCGCCGATGTCAGCAAGGGTATCAAAAATATCCTGAGTCTTTTGGCCAGCTTGGTACAACAAGAGAGCCCGCTTTTGTTTCTTTTCAATCACATTCAGAGCAACAAGATATGTTTCAAATCGTCGTTTCCACTTTTTCCAGCGCTGACTGAGAGAGTTTGGATCGGACATAGGATCAAATGGCGCCATTGGAGCTACATTGATTCGGCCAGTCGCCATGACTGTATTCGTAAACTAGAGATTTCAAAATCGTTTGTATTGATAAACGATAGCTGTTTTTTTTTTGTTTGTTTGTTTACCTCGTCGCCAATGTACTGTTCGTGGTTTTGTATCAATATCAAGCACTTTTAATTATAACAATAGATATCAAACAACTTGTACAAACAGCATAGTACGTATCCAATTACTTCCCGGTTCCCTAGCCTCGTGCTTCTCAAATACTTAACTAACTTTCTAGTCACGTGTGTGCTAGTGTCAATAATGTCAACATTGCAAGGGCGTCTTAATTCTGCGAAAACGCGCCTTGTCCTCGCATTAACTGAACTATGTGCTTTTTACTAGGAATCTCTGATTTCGCGTACTTTCAAAAGGCTGGTGGAACGGGGTGCTCGAGTAATTTAACCGAGAACAACACAGTGACGGACTTTACCTACACGCCTGAACAAGAACGCTCCTTCTTGCTAGAGCTGTTCCATGCAACTGGTGGTCGTCGGTTCTGGATAATTAAAACAGGATGGGGGGAGGAGAGCAACATTACTCATTGCAAATGGTTTGGTATAGAATGCTACAAGAACAGTACTTATCTAAAATTTATTGATCTTACCGAAAACGGGTTAGATGGCCAACCGCCAAATTTTTGGAGATTTCGGAATTTACAAGGGATATGTTTGTCTCGTAATAAACATATGACTGGGAAAATATCTGATGTAGTATCAAGTAATATGACCCGGCTTCGACGCCTATGCGTCTCATTTTCAGGAATGTATGGTTCTGTGCCATGGAGTCTTATACTACAGCTTTACAATCTTGAAAAGTTACAGATATGTTGTATGCATACTGGACTAAACGGCAGCCTACCACAAGATATTGGAAGATTAAGCAAACTTCAAGTTTTTAGTATTGGTGAAAACGGCATCAAAGATATTCATTTACCATTGAGCATCGGAAAACTAACAAAATTGTGGTTTTTGGACTTAGAATATGTGATTTTTAGGTCAGGAGACCTGTGGTATTTCAATAATATGACTCAACTGCAGTACTTACATCTGACAAATTGCGGGATAAAAGGAACGCTGCCTAAAGACTTTGGACACACCCATCCCAATATCATTGAGGTACGTCTATATGGAAATAATCTAAAAGGCGAACTACATTCGTGTTTTCTCGGTTTCAAAAAGATTGCTCAGCTTTCCGTTGGATCGAATCTGTACCTGCACGGCTTCCTCCCGAGTACATTAAGCAAACTCGAAACGCTCCAAGTACTCGACTTATCCAGGAATAATTTCACAGGTTTTGCGAAAAATATGACTTTCAACAAACAGCTACAAACACTGTATATTGATGGAAATGTCAACCTCAAAGTTGAAGGTAACCGTCTTTTACAAGCATTACAGCCTTGCAAGGATCAACTGCGCATGCTAGTCGCACGAAACTGTGGACTGAAGGGAGATCTGTCGAAGACCCTTTGGACCTTTGACAATATTATGTACATAGACCTCAGTCAAAACAATCTGACTGGACACATCCCGAAAAATGATGGTCAGTTCAGTATGGCTTATCTATTCTATCTCAGTTTAGCATCGAATGATTTAAAAGGCGATCTATCTAAGGGTTTTCTCGCGCCTTTAAAGGCACTGACATACTTGGATCTTCGGAGAAACCGGTATATGAAAACCAAGGCCCCTTTGCTAAATGAGTACTTGAATGCCACATTTACGGAGACCTTTCATAAAGATACATTTACTTGCCCGATGTTACGATTAACAAGCTCAGGCGGGAGAGCTGATGTAGACCCGGATTATTATGGATATAGACTGTGCTTTTGTAACAGAGGGTACTATGGATTTATGAAATACTGCAAGCCCTGTATGAAAGGCGCTTCCTGCGACGTGGAAGCATCACCCACGCAGTCATTTAAGGAAGTAATTGAAGTTAAGATGACGATTGACAAGGGATATTGGCCGTGTTGCGGAAATTTAACTAACGTTACTCGTATGATTAAATGCAATTACCAAGAGGAAAAATTTGATGATGAAATTTGCAGTTCGTCTGGAAAATGCAAGTGCAAGTTAAACCAACTCAACGGTCAACTACAAACCTCGTGTGATGCGTCATGTATATGTCGCTATGGCAACAAAGGACGATTTTGTTCTCAGTGCAAGGACGGTTATTACAAGAAAGGCTCGTTGTGCATTTCGTGTCCCAAATTCCGTAAAAACTTTCCGGTTGTATTAACTGTTTGCTTTGTGTTGTGTTTGGTTGGCTCTATTGCATTGTTGGTTTGTTTGAGATACCGCAAAAAGCTTGTTCTCATTCTAATATTTGCTTTAGCAGTAACTCTGATAGTCTTGCGCTACAAAAGCATAATCCCAGGGTGGTTTTTTGTCATAATATTTACAGTTTGGATTTTAGGTCTTTCTGGTGCTAGGGAGAACTTAAAGAGCTTCCTGTCAATTGCATTGTTCTTTTTCCAATCTCTTGATGCCATGTTTTCAGACGCCAACATTTGGCCCCGAACAATACTGCTGCTAAAATACCAAATCACAAATGCGTTTAATTTTGCAATCCCTGAACTCACTTGTAGTTTTTCCGATGCAAATCGTCCTGAAGTTAGCTTCGCCGTAATTTTGTTACTTCCCGCCACAGGTATATTTCTTATATGGCTGTTGCATGGCTTGTCTAAAATCACTAGTTGTTGCCGGCAAAATTCAGTCATTCCAAGTTCTTCATGCAAGCGATTAAGTATTCAAATACTCTTATTTGTGTACTTTCCTATTACTGCCAAAACTTTTCAGGCAGTGTTACCTTGCGAACATCGTGACGGTTTGTCGTATTTAAAAGTCACGCCGTGGTTAGACTGTAATGGTACCTCTTACAACTGGCTGGTAGCTTTAGGATGTGTTTCATTGGTGGTATTTGTTATCGGTGTGCCTTTTTTTGTATTTGTTCCATTGCTCTATAAATATGTAGACCATCATGGCAAGGCTGTTTCTGAAGAGGCGAATATTTGGTTGAAACCTCTATACAAAGAATTTAGGACGCCATACCGTCGCTATTTTCCGTTAGTGTTTCTCGGCCGTCGACTCTTACTTGCCGTGTTTCTTACCGTCGTTCCGACTACCTCATCTTACCAGGTTATAGGCATAACCCTGCTTCTGGTTATCTTTATAGCTATAACCTTAATTTTCAGACCGTTCGAACAGTACTCGGAAAGATTCGAGTTTGAAACTTTGGCTGATGTGATCGTTTCTGTTGTTCTGTTGTTGTCGTTCGTCGGCTTGGCGTTGTTACGAGTTTCTCCGAAATTTGATAACTCCCTGGTGTTGTTGATCATTTCTATGAATTGTGTTGTGGTATTATGTTGCGTTGTAGGTATGCTCGTGTTGTTTGCTGTCAATCTATGGAAGTTTCCGGGCAACGTCCAGCAATACGAGCTAATTCCAGATTAAAAACATTAACGTGCGTGAGAACAAGCTGTGGAACCATAGATAGCGCCGACAGCAAAACAAAGATAACATTTTGAAACTAATGACTGTAAAGAACATTTATAGTCCGTAATAAACCACATAAGTATAGACTCCAGTAAAATAAAACTCCGCACGATAATTACATGTGGGAAGAGAAGGAGAACCTCGAATTACACTTTTGCGAAACCAAATCCCCCAAGGTTACCCCCAAATTTAGCCAATTATCTCCCACTCGTGCGGGCTCACTCAGCGGACATCCTACTCAAGGTTACCAACTGTGTGTCAAACGAGATGCTTTCAATTTTTCGTCGCAACTCTGCTGGAAAAATGAGCCTCCTGTGCGGGGAGAAAATTTGCTGAACACGACCAGCGTGTTGTTATTAAATAGGTTTGTGCAAAGTCTGAAAACTAGACTGCTCTCTCAACTGTAAACATGCAGTTATATATCAACTCTTGCCATATCAAAAGTAAATGACTTAACTTTTAAGACATTTTGTTATGAAATTATTTGTACTTAATACAGTAGGCTTTGTTCAATTATTTGTATTTTTATATAGTATACTTCTTTAATTGGTAGTAAAGTGTGTGAAGTTTGTTCATGTATAATAGAACAAGTGTATAAATAAACCGAGTGACTTCTTTATTGTATATTATCATGCAGACGTACATGGACATATAGTTAATGCAAGATAGGAGATATCAAAGACATCAAAACTATAGAGTTTACCGGCCCTCTAGATTTCGGCACTAATTGTTCATCATCATTATATTCAATAATTATTATTAAATTTATTACACTCCCTTCAATATAACTAACTATATATCTAATATGCTGCTTTCATAGAAAAACAGTGATTGATTATTGATCAATATCCAATATTCAAAGAGAAACGCCTGGTGGCGAGAAATCGCCAAAAGTCTCAGAATTACTTGGTGGCGCAGAATACAAATTAGCGTCATACAATTAAAGCAAATTTATATATAACAATATATAAATTCAAGTTAATGAGACAACACGTTTGTCACCTTCAAACCTGGTTATAATCTCATAGTAACAGGATAAGCTTGTCAACAGCCACAAAAAGGCGATATCCAATAGTCCAAAGTTCAAATGTTTCTCTGGGCATGTGTAAACCGAATGAAAGATCAACTGACCAATCATATGTCCAACTAGCCCTGGGTACGAGGTTGTCATATGTCAACAACGAACACGCAGAACAAAGGTCAATGTGATAAGGGAGTTCACTTTGACAAATATCCCAACAAAGAGCAATGTCTTGTTACAGAGAAAGAAAATTTCCACCCACCCACCCGTTCATGTTCCTGGTATCTGGTGCATTGTATGGGTACTAACTAATGTTATGCAAGGGCTGTTCAAGAACAAATTGTCAAGAAAGACTATCGAACAATTATCGAACAATTTTCTCGTGGAAAATTATCGCTATGTAAATACTTAAATTAAATTGGTTTATGTTCAAACAAATAAATTTTGGTTCGGGGTTGAAGTGTTCCCAATGGTCAACTTCAGGCCCATAGACTCAGGTTATTTATGTAAATATAATCAGTCGAATCGTAGGTACTGTCCAAGGGGATTATCACCCCTTGGTTCAGGTCTATGTCAGAGGGGGTCGCTACTCTTCGGGCAGAGCTCCTATATATACGCCTGCGGGATGAAAACATAAGGCTTAATGAGTCTTTGGGTTGACCAGAGTTTGAGAGTATAATGTATATAATTGGTTCACTTCACCCTGAACCCATTCTCCCACAATGATTTGGTGTGTGTTTTACTTATTTTCGGGCTGTTCTTTCACCTAACGTGCTTGAATTATTAATGCCGGACGAATGTATAGTAATGGCCATTAATGTAAGAACCGCTTCTTCCAAACACCCCCACGAGTTTGCATCTTTCCATTTCAGGATGGGTCAAAACAGTGTAATGGGTGTGCTAGTCTTGTAGTGTTGTGCAGCACAGTACACAGCGTCATAAATACCGTTCTCGATGGAAGTTCAAAGGACATTCGCAGGAGTCATTCTAAAAAGGAAAGCTTTCAGCGCTTAGTCGGTATTGGGCTTCATGTTTAACAGGAAGCATTGTCTCCTAGCCATATTTTTCGAAGGTGAGCCAACAACTACAAGGAAACAATCCATGCGGTCTCCCCACTGGATTCTCTCGATTAATATTACACTTGGAAACAGAATACAGTATGCTTCTCAGTGAATTAGTTGCGAGACAATTTTGCTTCCGACAAAGATATGGTGTGGGGGTTTCATTACACAGCAAAAAAACACCTAGCCTGTACTAACAATGTTGATGAAAAAAGGCCTGAAGAAATGAATATTTTGCTGCCCCGTATTCATATATTGTTCCCGATTGTTAACAATATTGTTCAGCATTGTTCAGGCTGAACAATGTTAAACAATATTGTTAACAACCAGGAACAATTAATATGGGCAACCTCGTACCCAGGTTATTTTCTCTCGTACAAAATATTGTTCTGGCCTGTTTTCATCAACATTGTTTAAGGCTATAGGCGTTTTTTGCTGTGTATACATATGCACATGCAGTGGCGTAACGGGGGAAGAGGGAGCCCTTAGGCATATTTGGTGTGGGGGGCCCTGTTGACTGTTATCATTGTTTGACTGATATATTATATTTATATTGAATATTTATAGAATACGTTCTGGAAAATTCCATGTCTATAACAATAACAGTCTCCAACACATATAACAACTAATAAAAATAACTTTTGTTTCATTTTTGAGATGGAATAATGAGCGGTACGCCACTGCATATGCACATTATGCATGACGTGACCGCATGACGTCATATACATGTGGATTATTTTAAGGTAGCTCACATTCAAGAACATGTATTACCTCTGTATGATCTAACCGTGCTTAACTCAGCAATAAGTTCTGTACAGCATCAGCTCAGTTTAAGGTATAGCAGACATTCAAGAACATGCACTACTACTGTATGATCTAACCGTGCTTACGTCCGCGGTGATTTCTGTACGACATCAGATTACCTTAAGAGACTTAAGACCCAGCGGGCAAAATTACGTCGATTCAACGTTGAATCGACGTCGAACTTCGACGTTGATCTGACGTCGAAATAAGGTTGAAAACGCAAATTAGATCAACGTTGTTTTACGACGTAGAAACAACCGCAATCATCAACGTTGAAATGATCTTGTGTCAAAAGATACAGTTAAAAAAGCATCATATTTTGACTATAAAATACTTTATTTCATTATGAAATACCATTAATATTAATACTAATATAGCCTATATAATTACAGAATATATAAACGGTATATCCTCTGACCATACTACATATAATACCATAAAAATTGACATATATAAACATTTCACGACCTATCTACTAAAAGTCAATAATTTAAACAGTTTCTTTTCGTCGTCCTCCTCCTTGCCGATCTGGCGCATACTTGAGCAGTTGCATTGCTGTACAGCTCGCTCCACCTCCGCTTCCGTCGTCTTTTGATTTTTAACCACACATTCTGGGAACAATACAGAGCACAATATTAACAATGGGTTTCATTATATGACTACCATTGGCAAGCATCAGCTACGCGATATGATTATAGTTGCGATTATATTTATAATTACGCGATATGATAACGATCCGGAAAATCCCCGTAATATCGCTTAGGGACATTATTATGCCCTACGACAAAAAAAAAACAGTCAAAATGGGAAAAATCAAAAACTATTCTTTAAATGGGAAGAAACAAAATTTTCGCCAAAAATTTAAATGGGGAAATTAACCATGACTTTTAATTCTGATCAAGTAATTAAATTTAAGCTGGATTTTCTCAAAGAAAAGTTGATGTTGTAAATTAGCCTTTCTCACGATGACGAAATCCGCCATTTTTGGGTGACATCTTATTCTCGTTAACCAATTAAAACAATGTGAAAAGCAATTTTTCAAAATAAACTAACCATTTACAAAGCAAATTTACCATCATTCGTCCAAAAAATTATAAAAAGTCGCTGTTATGTGAACTTATCTCGCAGACTTCGGCTGAAATGCCACCCAAAAATGGCGGCGTGAGAAAGGCTAATTGACTATATGGATTCTTTCAAACTCAATTTGTTCTTTCTTCTTTCCAACAAGGGGCATTTCTGTGTTTAGAACAGCTATACACAGCACAACATGCACAAACAAGTTTGCCATGTAGTAACACCCTTGTTTAAAAAACATTTAACACTTTTTGAAGTAAGGCAGGTTTGTTTGCAACTTTGCAATGGCATTCGCTCGAACCGTCGAGGCTTAGTTCAAGGCACATGAGTTAATGTAATTTTTACGAATGCGGTGCTGCAGGAAAATACACCACAAAGAGTACACTGTCACATACCTACAACAACTTGAAATACTTTAGTGGACCCAAAAGCATATTTTGAGCCTTTTCCTTTCATGTTCATTGAAGCCATAACTTCATTATTCATCAACCTAAAAATGAATTGGAAATATTGATAATAGTTCCCAATAGCATGAAAGGTGACTTTCAATCTACAATACAGTATATAAGAACACCAGCACACTTTAATTGTGTTGTCGTACTTTCATGGCTATTTCTATCTGATGTTCAGTCCTCCAACATCAACAATTCTTAATAACTGCAAAACAATTGTCATCCATATCACGACTAAAGCAGGTTATGTGAGGATTGGGCATACATGCTAATTGAGTCAGACGTCGAGTAATAGAGCATGCACATATATTTACAGCTGAGTCAAGATATAAGTTTAAAAAATAATTGATTAATAAACTTTATCGGTTCACAAACAACTGAAATCCTCTACAGCACGCTTATACTTCTGTTCTTCATACATCGAAAAATTGCTTGAATTAATTTAAATGCTTTGGTCAATTCAAGAATTCGTTAGCAGGCTCAAAATTATGCTTACCAAGTCATCTCTAGTGTCTTTATCAGCAAGACAGGCGTCTAATCGTTTCAGTTCCTCCAAGCTCGTTGCTGATTGATCTGCATTTCAGAATTGGCAGGAGAACATCTTTTTCCAACCTGGGCTACCGTGTTACGGATTTCAGTTAATAGCTGCAAAACTCGTCTTTGAAATCCTATAAGTTAGAATAATTGAAAGTTAAAGCAAACACAATGATGATCACATCTAAGGGTCTGAATATGCACTATGCAGTGGTGACTAAATTTCCTATATTTACTCGAGTAAAAGTTGAAGTAATCAACTTTAAAACGACTTGAAGTGAAAGTAAAAGTATCGCGGATAAAAACGTACTTGAGTTATTAAAAGTATAATTCGTTTTAAAAAATACTCGAAGTACAAGTAAAAAGTAAAAGTACACTCGATTGCAGCCCTCTGCATATACGTCATATTTTTAACAGTACTTTTTCACGAAAGGCTCATTGGCGTAGCTCTATACAAGACACCAGCGGGCTACGCGTACACTTCGGGAAGACAAACTGTCAATGTTACGAATCCGAAGTACCGACTGTCACTTAATATGTTTCCTCTTGATTTTTAGCAAAAATCAAGTTAAAAGTAATGAAAGTAACGAAATACTTCAACACAAAATGAAAATAACGAAGTAAAACGTTACATCTTAAAAAGACTTTCGTTTCAAGTTAAAGTACTCGGGCAAAAATGTACTAGGTTACATGCTTTTTTTACTACTCAGAACTTATTCTTTGCCAATTCACATTAGAAACTGCAAGGATTTTAAGTGTACATAAGTACAGTAACGAAGTACATTTACTTCGTTACCTGCCACCACTGGCATTATGTGTACTTACTTGCTTCTGATATGGGAAATCCACTGTTACTCCTAGCGACGGTGTTCTCAGTACCAAATGTATGTTCATGCTGTCTTTCTGGTGTCCTCTTTTCTGCCAAACTTTGTCTCTTGGGTTGTGGAGCTAAAGGTCTGGATCTAGTTCTTGATCTGGACCTTTCGATCGTGATTTAGACTGCGTTTTTGATCGCGATCTCCTTCTGTGACTTGTTTTTGATCGTGAACTCGATGTAGACCTTGTTTTTGATCGTGATCTAGACTTCGTTTCTGAGCGTGATCTTCTTCTTACATTTGGAAATAATGTTGCTAAAATATCTGAAACGCACAACAAAAAACTTCAGAGATACTATTTATGTTCTTGGGAGATGCAACGATAACATTGTTACATAAGTAAATACCGAAAGCACATAAAACACAGATCGTTGAAATAAAAAAACACATTTTCTCCGTTCCTCAGATTCCACACAATTCCTTAGTCCTTCGGTAGCCGTCGTCGCGTCATATCAATGTCGTCAGCGAGTCAATATGATTATCATTGTCACAGTAATATGGCGCGAACGCGTCCAAATTTTTTTCATATTGACTCTTCGACGTCATTTTGCTAATATGAATGTGAAAAATCCGTATTTAGTTAGCCATTGAGTTGATATGACAATTTCACAGTCGGCTGCTAGCCAATCAGAAACCAGGATTTTTTAAAATAAATAAATAATACACATTGTTGTTGCTTTACCTGCGGCTTGTAAAGGTCCACCGTTGGATTTGCAGTTTTCTATTGAAGGGGTCTTTTCAGAGAAAGTTTGCTTCCCTGATCCAGAAGGTTTGGACCTCGTTTTAGATCTTGATCTTGACCTCGTTTTCGATCTCGAACGCACGGAGGATCTTGATTTTGTTTTGGAGTTCGACCGTTCATGTTCTTGTCCATAATTTGTACTTTCGTTGCCCTTGGCTTGCTGTTGTGTACCGCTTTTAGTTGCTGTCCAATTAGTCATCGCATCTTTATTCATCTAACTTACTAACCCTGTTCTTGGCATACCACATATCTTTGTTTCGTATTGATTGTACATCACGTGTATTTTGTGCTCCGCTATATCTCGAGTTCGAAATCGAAGCAATTTATTAAAGCGGCAATGAAAATCCATGTGAATAACAGTCGAAGTGTAACACTTTGTGCCTTAGAAGTTGAGTCGAATACTACGGTTGAATGTGTGCAGAATAAAATTCAAGAGAAGCTAGAAATTCCCACAGAACAGCAGCGACTTTTCTTCACGGACAAAATACTCGACGTTGAGAAAACGCTAGGCGGCTATGAAATATGTAATGGGTCGTCTATAAAACGGGAATTCACATCGTCTACTACAGATGAAGCAACAACATATGGGGAAGGATTAAAGATTACAGATAAGGGAACCCTGAAGTGGCTCGGTAGCTTTGAAAGCCTAAAATATCTCGTGGAGAAATTGCAATCACCAAAAGCCAAATGGATGACTCCAGGCGGTGGCTCGAAATTGTATGAATGCGAAGAGTTTTCTGTGCGCTGGTATTCATCTAATGGAACACTCACTTTCAAAGGAAATAAAGCCAATGAAATTAAAGCAAACCTCATCTCCATCTTGGAAAACAAAGTAGAAGAGATTAGCCAAAGTCAAGACGAATTGCAATATAGCAGTGATTTATATAAAGATTCAATAAAAACTATCCCACGTGTGACTCAACATGCAGTAATTTAGAACAATATCTATTGATAAACGATCTCATGAGTAAATTCATGCAAAGAATAGACGACAAGGTCGAGGGGATTTAGCAAGAAGTAAACAATCTGAAGGCCAATACAAATCAACCAGAACGAATTGATCTGATCAACAACCTCGAACGGGAAATAGACGAACTTAAAAACGAAAACTTAGAATTACGCCAAAGAAATGCGACTATATCGTACGCTATGGCAGACTTGCAAACTAAACTTAAAGACACGGAGAACGAAAAAAACAGCCTAATTACGGCAATTAAGCTGGTTCAACTCGACAATCCAAACCTAGTGGAACCAAAAATCAAGTTGACACCTGGCATGTTGTTCGAAATAAGAAACCAAACGTTAGCAAGGATGCCGACAAAACGGCCGCCAGTATCGCGGATATTAACAGATATGGATTCCTTAGTGACAGCGATGTAGAACCAACAGAAGGACAACGCCCGCCTTATGTCAGATCGATCACGACCCACAAGAACCCCGGCAATAAAGAATCAATTTTTGACACGGAGAATGAAATAAATCAAAATCTAAATGGTCATCGACCGAAGGAAAATCAATCTCAAAACAAACCAAATATCGCCATCGTTGGAAACTCAATGATTAAGAACATTAACCCTCGTAAACTATCAAGAAAACGGGTTAATAAATTCACGTTTCCACACAAAAGAGCGGAGGAAATTGCATCTGAAATAAAGAATAATAATGTTCAGTTACATCCAACCCATGTTATTATACACGCCGGGACGAACAATCTACCAACCGACACAGGTGATCAGTGTATAAAGAACATCAAATGTTTGTATTCTAGTATTAAAGAAAAGTTTCCTAAGGCTAAATTAGGTGTTTCAAGTATCATTTTAAAGCCCCATTCACACGAGCAAAGTTTATTTGACAAATTTCATTTGATCAAATGCATTTGATCAAAAGCTAGCATGTTAGCTTTTGTTCAAACGCATTTGTCGCAATAAATTTGTCACAAATTTATCATCTGCACGAGCAAAATATCTTTGACATATGAAATTTGTCAAATAAAATTTCCTCGTGTAAACGGGGCTTAAGGAAAGATATTGAAGTATCGAGTAAAATGTATCAAGTAAATGAAGATCTAAAACGTTTATGTAATGAATCTGTCAAAATCTGGCTTTTCTTTTATTGACAATTCAATCATATATGAATCTGGACTTAATAATAGTAAATTACATCTGAGCGCAAAAGGATCTGCTTCACACGCTTTATTAAATTTTTAAACCCTGATAAACAATTAAATAAACAACCAGTAGGAAACCATGTATCTTCTGAAAATTTTCTCAGAGATCTGCTAAATCTGGTTGCCTTAACTCGGACATCTATGTCTCAAAGAAGACGCGAACTCGTTAAATGATAATTATCCTAATACTAATAGTAATGTATTGTATCCTCTAAGTATAATTGCTAAATCAAAAGGATTTCGAATCGCCAGTTTGAACGTAAATAGTCTTTTGAAACATATCGATGAGATTCGAGTGATTTTAGAAAAAATCCGCTGGATGTCCTAGCTATAAATGAGTCTAAAATAGATGATTCTATTTCTGACAATGAGATCAAAATACCAGGATACGCTTTGTGCCGGAAGGATCGTAATAGAAATGGTGGGGGTGTCGTGTTGTATATCCGAGACTGCTTTTCATTTATAGAGCGGAATGAACTGACTCCTAATCAGCTTGAGATGGTGTGCATTGAAATTTGCAGTAAATATGGCAAACCTTAGTTTACCTTTCTTAATTGGTGCTTGGTACAGGCCACCGAATTCAAACATAGATCTATTTGACAGTTTTGAAATGTTTATTAATAAATGTGAGATAGAAAGTAAAGAGCTACTTGTTCTGGGAGATCTAAATTGTGACTGGAATAAGACGCCGTTGGACAGTCATACGCAAGAACTAAAAAATATATGTGTGTTGTATCAATTTAGTCAAATTATTGATGAGCCAACGAGGGTGACTAAGTGTTAGTCTTCAGCAACACAGATTGACCTAATTCTGGCCAATAATCCTGAAAGCATCTCCACAGTAATTAATCCCAGTAATAGTGGAATTATTGCAGATGATACAACTCCTATGAATAATTATCAATCTATTCCAACCCACATCACCAAGCGAAAACCATCTAGGAAACATAATAAACGTAACAAAAATTCGGGAAAGGATTTTCGTGCACGTACAATGTTGAGAGACAAAATGAACTTTTACAAATATTATTATTAGACGAGGCCGGGGGTAAATCGTCTTCCGGGATGGAAAGTGAATTGGAAAGCTTACTTGAACATTGTTTATATAATAATAACCAGGAAAAGGTCAACCCAAACCTCATCTGTCGTAAGAGAATCAAGTCAAGCAATTTAATTCATGTATCTGTGAACCCCGAAGTTAATAGTAAAACCGTGTCTTGTTCGTCGCATTTTGTACCTGCTATATTATTGTCAAACACTATGTCGCTAGCCCCGAAAATCGATGAAATTGCTGTATTTCTTACTTCGAATCATATAGATATTGCCTTTTTCAGCGAAACATGGTTAAAAGAATCCGTTCCAGATGAAGCTATTAATATTACAAATTACCAATTATTCAGGCGTGATTGTCAACACAAATCCCATGGTGGGGTTTGTTTTTATATTAACAATACCATTTCTTGCAACCGCCTAACGGAGTTAGATAGTGATAATCACGAAGTATTGTGGCTAGCTTTACAACCAAAACGACTCCCACGAAATTACTCAAATATGATAATAGCTGTTGTGTACCACCCTCCAGATGCCGATTGTACAAGTATGCGTGACTATGTCCAATCTTCATTAGAATATATTGAATCTTCAATTCCTAACCCTGCAATCATTATTGCTGGTGATTTCAACAAATTGGACTTACAGGCTACTGTTAAACCTTTTCAACTAAAACCAGTAATTGATTTTCCCACCAGAGGTGCCAATATTCTTGACCAAATTTATACCAATCTATTTGAATACTATTCACCTCCTACTAGTGCTCCTCCATTTGGCTTATCAGACCATCTAACAATTGCCATGTGTCCTGGAACGAGGAAAAGATCGCACGAACCACAATCGCGTATTGTTAAAACAAGAGACAAGCGACCCAGTAATATTAGAAGTCTTGGTCGATTTCTCCAGGAAATTCCATGGGACATTTTATCGTCCATACCCTCAAATGATCAAAAACTATACTTTTTAACTAGCATTATAAACTATGGTTTGAACTTAATTATGCCTGAACGTTCAATAAAAGTCCACCCTAATGATCGACCATGGGTTAATAGCAATCTGAAATCACTGATAAATCGTCGACAAAAAGCCTTTGCATCTGGTAATGTCACTCTTTTTAAAATGTTACGTAATAAAGTTAATCGTGAACGAAAACGTTGTCGTAAGAGCTATTATCAATCTAAAGTTCATAATTTACGTAACACTAACCCCCGAGATTGGTGGCGGGAAGTGAAGCAGTTGTGTGGCACATCTAAACTAAACAACAAAAGTGTAAAAGACCGCCTCCATCAAGATTTATGGCAGGAGACAGACATAAACCTCAGTAATAAAATTAACAATGTTTTTATAAATGTGATACAGAACTATGTTCCATTATCTGAAGATACGGCTGTAATTGTACACAACGATGAAACGCCTATTATTGTGACCGAGTCAACTATAGCTAGAAAATTGCAAGAAATTAATACATCGCGTTCCAGTGGCCCTGACGGTATTTCCAATTGGGTTTTAAAAACCTATTCGGATATTCTCGCCTCACCAGTTGCAAATATAATCAATTCTTCCTTTCAAAGCTGTAAAGTCCCTCAAATTTGGAAGCTGGCCGATGTGGTCCCCTTACCAAAAACATCTACTGTCAAAGACTTGGAAAGGGAATTACGACCTATTTCCTTAACTTCCACTCTATCAAAGATAGCGGAACGTCTTGTAATCGAAAGAGAAGTAAAACCAACTCTGTTAAAGGTTGTTGATCCCCAACAATTTGGCTTTATTCCAAATTCTTCCACTGTACTTGCCTTGATATCGATGCTCCATTGTTGGTTGAGTGCAACAGATGGAAGTGGTTCATCTGTTCGCACTGTATTTCTTGACTATAAAAAAGCATTTGACATGGTGGATCACACCACATTAGTTGCGAAATTATTCAGCCTTGGTATTAAGCCCTGTGTGGTTAACTGGATTATTGACTTTTTACGTAATAGATGGCAAAGGGTCAAACTAAGTGATAATTGTTTCTCAGACTGGCTCCAAGTTCCAGCTGGTGTCCCTCAAGGCACACGACTTGGGCCTTGGCTATTCTTAGCCATGATAAATGACCTTGTGTTACATAATCACCTTTCAGAAATGTGGAAATTTGCCGACGATACTACGGTCTCTGAAATTGTTGAAAAAAACGAACAAAGTACTTTACAAATGGATATCGATGATATTACTACTTGGTCTATGGACAATTCCTTTCAACTAAACCCATTTAAATGCAAAGAAATGGTAATATCCTTTTCACGATTACCACCTGTTTTTGAACCTATACGTATTGGTGACCGAAATTTGGAAAGAGTGACAAGTATCAAATCGCTTGGAGTTATATTAAGAAATGACCTTAAATGGATAGACCATGTAAATTCAATTGTCTCCAAAGCAGCTAAACGTTTATATTTGTTGAGGCAACTCAAACGTGCTGATGTCGCTTCGGCAGATTTGGTCAAATTTTTTTGCAGCTGTATAAGGTCTGTCCTCGAATATGCGTGCCAATTATTCCATAGTTCCCTGCCACAAAATCTTGCAAAAAACATTGAACGTATACAGAAGCGAGCAATGAAAATAATATTCTATGAATTGTCTTACGACGAGGCTCTTAACATCGCTGGTATTTCCACTCTTGAAAACAGACGGGAGTATCTATCCAATAATCTCTTCAACGACATTGTTTTAAATGATGATCATAAACTTGCCAAACTTTTACCATCCAAAGCAGGCAATAGAGAATTACGAAAAGAAAGATCTTTTGAAGTTTTACCAGCAAATACAAATCGTTTCGGAAACTCTTTTATCAACTTTTATGCTAAGAAACATTACAAATTAGATGTTCCTTGAACATTTTAGAATTTTTAACTCATATAGATTAGTACATTTAAGTATATGATATATAGTATATATTAACAATTTTTAAATTGCATTGTAATATAGAATTTTTTACTATTTATAACCTTGTAACACTTAACGTCATGTAATTCAGTCTTCTGACTGCCAGATGATGTTTTTATTAAACAAACTATTCATTCAATCATGGAGTAATTGAAATTGGGATTTCAGATCATAGTTTGATTTATGCTGTTAAAAAACTAGTTCCTTTAAAAGGACAGAGAACATGTAGTGAAGTTCGAAATTTTAAAAACACTTTAATGAAAGGTTATTTTTGCACGATTTGTCTAGGATCCCTTGGGATTATGTCAATCAATTTAATAACCCGAATGATAGCTGGCAAGTCTGGAAGTCCTTCTTTATAGAAATACTTGATAGACACGCGCCAATTCTGAGGAAGTATATTAAAACTAAAAAAATTCCATGGCTAAATGCCTCTATTAAGCAACTAATGAGGCAAAGAGATTTTCATAAAATAATGTTTAAAAAAATTAATTCAGAGATGCATTGGGAAAAATTTAAAACCATTAGAAATAAAATTAATGCTGCATGAAATTAAAAATCTTAAAGCTAACTATTTCAATACTAAAATATCTGAGTATCTTCAGCATAAGAACGTAAAGAAAAGTTGGTCCTTGATTAATAACCTACTTGGGAAAAATTCAAAATCAACCATTATCAATGAAATTAGGACTGATAATAATGTAATTCTTACAAATAGAAACCTAATTGCAAACAAATTAAATGATTATTTTGTTAATATTGGTCCATCGCTTGCACTCGGGGTGGAAGAAAATCATACCTCTGCTGGTGTGACAAATCGTGGTGATTTAGAATGTAACACAATTTTTTGTTTTTCTGATATAAGTGTTCATCAAGTTCTAAACAACTTAAAACAACTAGTAACATCCAAAGCTACTGGCGTAGACAAAATTCCAGCTAAAGTTCTTAAATTATCTGCAGATATAATTGCGCTATCTCTGACAACAATCTTTAACCAATCACTACATAGTGGCATATTTGTCAATGACTGGAAATTAGCACGTGTGCAACCGATTTATAAATTTGAGGATAGAAGCAAATGCGAAAATTACCGTCCAATTTCTATTCTCCCAGTTGTAAGTAAAATCTTTGAAAAAGAAATTTTTCAGCAACTATATAGTTATTTATCTGCAAACTCACTAATTTCAAAGTTTCAATCTGGATTTCGACCTAAACATTCATCTCTAATCTTACTTCTCCAGATGTGCGATGAATGGCTAAAAAATATGGATGAGGGTAAAATAACTGGTCTTGTTTCTCTGGATATCAAGAAAGCATTTGATTCAATTAACCATCAAATTTTAATGTCAAAAATGAAAGACCAGTTTGGTATTCGTGAAAATGAATTCAATTGGTTTACCTCTTACTTGACTGATCGTCAGCAAGTTTGCTGTGTAAATAAACATATATCCTCTTGGAAATCCATAGAAAGTGGTGTGCCGCAGGGGTCGATCCATTCTCGGTCCTTTGATGTTTTTATTTATATTAATGATTTGCCGCAATACTTAAAATTTACAGCTCCGGCTTTATATGCTGATGATACGCAGATATTTGCCTCGTCTGATAATTATGATGAACTGGTGGAACTATTAAACTCTGATTTGAAAAATATTAGTAGAAGGCTCTCGGATAACAAAATACAACACCATACTACTAAAACTAAGCTAATGTTCATAGGCTCCCGGTACAAAATCAAAAATAAAATTGGAGATAAATTAGGTGACCTTTAAGAATAAACCATTAAAACGGTACAGATCTTTTAAATGTTTAGGAGTTGAGTTGGATGAACACCTTAGTTGGGAAGTTCACATTAATGCATTCTGTAAAAAGGTTGGTGCAGGGATAGGAGTTTTAAAACGAACAAAACCATTCGTCCCCAATGAAACCCTGCACATCATCTATAAGGCGTTAATTCTGCCATACTTTGATTATTGCTCCCCTTTGTGGGATAATTGCGGAATTGTACTAAAACAAAAACTACAGAGATTCCAAAATAGAGCTGCAAGGGTGTTGGCGGGAGTAAGTAATGATACCAACTCCTCTGAGCTCCTTGAACGGCTTAACTGGAAAAATCTTGAAAACAGATTTAGATTTAATAAAGTGGTTCTGGTATACAACATTCTTAATAATGGTACTGCCCCCTGTCTTCGAGAATTCTTTTCTGCACGAAGCAATAATGATAATGATAATGACTATCATCTCAGAAATTATGATACAGATCTCTCACTTCCAAAACCTAAGAAAGAATTTCTTAAAAGAAGCTTTAGGTATAGTGGAGCTGTACTGTGGAATAGCCTTTCTGCTGAGGCTAAGTCTGCTCATTCGATTTATTGTTTCAAAAGACCTATTTGAATCTTGTTTTTAATTGTTATTCCATTTGTAACTACATAATACTTTCTGGGTAATATTCTTTTTGGGTGTGTGGGTTAATTAGTTTTTTCTTCATTTTTATATACTTGTAAATAGCTAAATAGACGCCCCTCATGAAAACCAGCCGTTTAGCTGATGAGGATAGCGTCTCTAAAGAAATTAAATACATACATACATACATACATACATCATCAATCAATTTTATTTAAAATGAAAACTCGCTAGCCTCGCACAACTGAAAGCAGATTTACAGAAGTGGCGTGATATATAAAACAGTAAAATATATAAATTATATGAACCCCAACCTCCCCTTTTCCCCCAAAGTCAAGTAAAGTAAGTAAAGAGAGTTAACTATAACTAAGTCAACATGGTTCAAAAAGACCAATCCACAATACTACGCTTAAATTGACTGAGCGAAATCGCTCTTTTTGCCTCTAATGGAAGATTATTCCACAGCATTGATGTACTGTATTTAAAGCTTCGCTTCACAAAATTAATTTTTGGTTTTGGTAGTGCTAGATCCGTTTCTTAATTTCGTAAATTATGGTCTCTATTAAGTTCTCTAAGTCTTACGAGGCTTTCTCTTAAATATTATGGCGAACAATTTTTATTAAGGATTTTATACATTAGGAGACTCTTCAACTTAGCCTGCCTAACATGTAGATTATCTCATCCTAAACCTTCCAAAAGATCACTTGGTCTAATCCTATCATCATATCTTGCTTCAGTGATAACTCTAGCCGCACGATTTCGTAGCATCGATCTGCAATTTATCTTAATATTTTATTGCACGTATATCTCACAGAGGAGAGCAATAATCAAAATATGGTTGGATTATTGATTTATTTTCCTCAATGCTCCTATGCCTGAACAAATCTTCTTGCATATTTCTTCAATATTGATATCATAGTCCGTGTGTTGTGACCTCGAAAAGTGCCTAGAAAACGATTTTCATTAAGCATGTCTTAGATCTGAAATACTTTTACGGGAACTAACACTTCACAGCAATTTTTTTCATTGTTCAACGACACGGATCGATGACGATACACGATTATGTCACTCAAAAGGACCAATTTCTATTAACCATTATTCCTTTTAACAAAAGATCGGTTTTGCTCGAATCATTTTGAGTTATGCAATCTTATGCGTGTTGAGCGTAAACAACATATCGTGTCTACAACTTTGAGAAGATACAGATAATTCCTTCTAATATCCTTAGTTCTGGATCTATCGCTATAAAATCACAAGGACGGTAATGTCAAGTCTTTGTGCTATGTTTCTTTTCTGAGAAATAATTCCTTACATGAATTTTTTCTGTGTTGGTGTAGTGTACTCAGGTGAATATGATATTTGTGGTGTTACTCTGAGTGTATATCCACACCAGGCGAGCTTGAAAAATATGCCCGGCCACGGTGGGATTCGAACCTACGACCTTTGGAATACTAGCCCAATGCTCTTCCAACTGAGCTACGCGGTCAGGACGGTTCGTGTAAGTGATATTTCGAAACAGAATCTAGTTCCTTCGATACCAATGAGTAACACCACAAATATCATATTCACCTGAGTACACTACACCAACACAGAAAAAATTCATATTACTAGAAAACATTGGTATCGAAGGAACTAGATTCTGTTCCGAAATATCACTTACTCGAACCGTCCTGACCGCGTAGCTCAGTTGGAAGAGCATTGGGCTAATATTCCAAAGGTCGTAGGTTCGAATCCCACCGTGGCCGGGCATATTTTTCAAGCTCGCCCGGTGTGGATATACACTCAGAGTAACACCACAAATATCAATTCCTTACATGCAATCAAAATGTTTTATACAAAGATATAAAACGGTAATCGATATGTAATGGATCAGCATTGAAATTTCCAACAAGGTTTCCGCGACGTAATTCAAGATTAACTTATCATTGTGTTTGAACTATTACATCAGTAATTGGTGTTATACTGTGCGATAAGCGAAAATTATTGGAAAGAGGGCTTCTATATACGTCGAAATCATCAAATAAACAGCTCATGCACACATTTCTCCACTTCGTGGTAAGTTTACAGAGCATATTTTATAATTTGGGACTGATCTTTGTCTTTGTTGTGAACATTTATTCTTATAGTTTAAGGTTATTTAAGATTAATCCTATAAGTCTTCTACCTGAAACCATTCGACAATATTTCATTTCAGCGTTGTCTTTACCATAACGTTGGCTTCGCGTTACTTTTGTTTTAAATACCTTGATCGCGTTAAAAGAGTTATTTTTCAGGCCAGTGACATAGCTGAAAGACTTCGCATTAATGTCCTTGTGATTTTATAGAGATATCTCAAGAATTGAGGATTTTAGAAAGTACTCCCTCAAAGTTGTAGACAAGATATGTTGTTTACGTCCAACACGCATAAGATTGCATAACTCAAAATGATTCGAACAAAACCGATCTTGAAAAGAAGAATGGTTAATAGAAGAATGGTTAATAGAAATTGGTCCTTTTGAGTGACATAATCGTGTATCGTCATCGCCGTATCGTTGAACAATGAAAAAATTTGCTGTGAAATTAGTGAAGATAAGATAGCATTTTGTGAAAAAAACTGCGGGTCTATACGGAGTGGGAACTTTTCGGATATGAACTCAGCGTGTTCGAAAGTGATAGTTCTCGTAAAAATATTTCAGATCTAAGACATGCTTAATGAAAGTGAACGATATCGGGTCTCAACACGCGGACTATCAAAAGTAAACCTGTCATCAAGATCAACTCCCAAACATTTATTCGAGACAACAGATGAAATTACGTTATTGTTCATAATAATGCTGTTGTACAATTCACCAACTTTGTTGGTCAAATTTTGTTTAGATCCTATGATAATAAGCTTAGCCTTAGATGGATGGGATTAGAGTTTATTTACATTTAACTAATCTGCGACATTTTCTAAATCAGAGTTAATGTCATTAGACAGCGCAACAGAGTCGTACAAAAAGGCGAAAATTTGGGTATCATCTGCATATAGACAGGGTGTTGTTGTCCTTAGACAGTTGGGTAAATCGTTGATAAAAAATTAGGAACAACAACGGGCCAAGTATGGAACCTTGTGGAACCCGCAAATGATTTCACCTTTATTAGAGAGGCAGCTATTTACTTGACACTGTTGTTGCCGATTTGAGAGGTCGGATTGAAACTATGCAAGTTCAAGTTGAGAAACGCCGTAGAAAGCTAGTTTTTCAAGTAGTATAACATTTATTTTTTATTTTTATTTATTTAATATATTCGCCCAAATCAGTTTATAAAATTAACAATTTAAATAGAAAATATTTACAATAGTAGGGCTAGGAACCTTCTAGAAACCATAAGGCTTTTGTTTAAGGTCCCAAGTTAATATCAGTCCAATTGTTTTCAAAGGAATTACGGTGATATATTTACAATAAGGAAAGTGCGTAAAAGATATATCAGACTATAACAATTATTTGGCTTTTCACTTTGTGCCAAGAATTCTACTTATTTAAATTTGACAGAAGAAAATATATTTTCATTGTAGATTTAAATATTGGAAGAGATCTAATTTGCTTATATTGCGTCGGAAGATTATTCCACACATCGATGCCGTTATTACCGAGCGTGTGTTTTTTATAACTTGTTCTAGTACAACTTTTGTGGAGCAATGATGCGTTTCTTGTGTTGTAATTATGGATTTCTTTGTTAGTTAAAAAATATTTATCAAAAATTTCTGGAAGATTTTGTAGATGAAAATATCGGAACATAAATAGACTTGTTAAGAAGTCATTCAATTTATACAAGTTTAGTATTTTAAGGTCATTAAAAATTGGTTCAGTATGGTCAAAATAGGATTTGAAGGTCATTAATCTTACTATCTTTTTCTGGATATTTACTAATTTTTGAATGTGGGATTTGTAAGCGTTACCCCAAACTAAATTACAGTATGATCTTTTGAATCGAACGCTTTTCTGATATCAAGGAAAACTACCCCTGTTAACTTGCCATTATCCATATTTTCGTACCAGTTATCACACATATGAATTAGAGCTGCAATTTTGGAGTGCCCTGGCCGAAATCCGGATTGGAATTTAAATATAAGGCAATTTTCGTTTAGATATCTGTAAAGGTGTGTAAAGATTTCTTTTTCGAAGACTATTATTATCGGAAGAATTGATATTGGTCTATAATTTCCCAAAGTTCGTTTGTTGCCTTCCTTATAAATCGGTATAACTTTCGAATCTTTCCAATTTTCTACAAATACTCCAGTTGAAAGTCATAGATTAAAAATATAAGTTAAAGAGGGTGCAATTATATCTGCAGCAATGCGTA